ATTTAATCCTTATCCGCCGCAAATCCTGACCTTGTCCTGTCTAATTTCAGAATCTAATCTCCGTTCCCTTATCTCCGATTCTACTGTAAGCGTGCAGATTGAAATGTGATTTTCGATCTCCGTTCATTTCGAATCGACGACGATCGCCGATTTTACTGGTCGGAACTTGTTAGGGGGGTTGTGTGAATTAGCTTGATCAATGTGTAAGGGCTTTTTGACGAAATAGCTGTTGTTCTTTGTGAAATCTTCAGAGTTTGTTGCTTTTTTTGTTGATTGTTTTGAGATTGATGCTGGATCTCAATCTCGACGTCGAGTCGACCGAGTCTACTCAGAACGGACGAGATTCGGCTGCTTTAAAAGTGGTTTCCGGTGCTGTTATGAATCAGATGGATGAATCGGTGACATCGAACTCTTCTGTAGTCAATGCCGACACATCAAGCTGCATCGATGGTGAAGAGGAGTTGTGCTCCACTCGGGCCGTCAAGTTTCAATTTGAAATACTGAAAGGAGGAGTCGGAGAAGATGATGAAGAAGAAAGAAGTCCCGTAATGACTAAGGAGTTTTTCCCTGTTGCTGCTAAAGGTGACGGAGACGGCGTAATTTATCTGGATTCGAACGCACAAAGTTCCAGAAGCTCCGTTGATATTTCCTTCCAGAGGGGGAAACAAGGCGGAGATTTTCTCGGTGGCGATGTTGTAAGGGTGATGCAGCCACCATCACAGCCGGTGAAGAAAAGCAGGAGAGGACCTAGGTCAAAGAGTTCGCAGTATAGAGGCGTCACTTTTTACAGGAGGACGGGAAGATGGGAATCTCACATCTGGTAATCTTCTAAAGGTTTATCTTTTATGTTCGTGCTTGGGATTAGGTTTTGTGTTAATCTTTTTCCTTATGTCAATTTGTCTGGTTGCAGGGATTGCGGTAAACAAGTTTATTTAGGTATGGATTCTATTGGTTTTACAACTGTGAACTTATTTCTGTTGTGATCTTAACTCTCTAATGAAGCTTTAACTTTTGTATTCGATAGGTGGATTTGACACCGCCCATGCTGCAGCTAGGTAAATGTTCCTTGGAAGTTATGTTGTTTTGTGTGATCTACTTGAGTTTTCAATTGTTTCTCTTTTCAACAAAATGGGTATTTCATAAGTTCAATATCCGCTTTTTCAGGGCGTATGACCGAGCTGCTGTCAAGTTCCGGGGTTTGGAGGCTGACATCAATTTCATTATCAGCGATTATGAAGAGGATATCAAGCAGGTTTTGGTTATATATGTAGATAAAATGAAGAAATGCATGATTGATATGTTCTTATTTGATTTATTCGAGCTTTTCAGATGGCTAATCTTTCCAAAGAGGAAGTTGTGCAAGTACTTCGGCGTCAGAGCTCTGGTTTCTCAAGGAATAATTTAAGACATCAAGGAGTTGCTATGCAAAAAATTGGCGGGTGGGGAGCTCAAATGGAGCAGTTTCATGGAAACATGTAATCAACTTCTCCCGGAATCTAATTTTTAGCTTTTACAAATGCTATGTTCGTCTGAATGTGCTTGTCATTCATTGCTAAGAAGAGTGAAGTGGAGTACCTCAGATGAAAAGTTTGGTTATTTTTTCGTCCATGTGAAAATGTTTCTGCTAGAACCGTTAATAGGAAAATCCATTTGTGATTATGGTTTATATCTTGAGATTCTGATGGATATGATATAGTTATATCTACCTTGAGGTGGCTGTCATTTGAGTATTAGCTAACTGCATGCTCTTGTGATCATAAATTACATTACAGTGAAGTCTTGCATCCTGGTTTATTGATCCTTTTAGGAACTTTTGCAACACTAACTGCTCAATTCTATGGAATTAGGGCTTGTGACAAGGCAGCCATAACATGGAATGGAAGGGAAGCTGCTTCTTTAATTGAGCCTCATACATCTCGGATGATTCCCGAGGCAGGTAATGTAGTTAATGCTTGGTTCCGTGCTTGTAAAAATGGTCATTGCTCTGCAGCGTTTGCTCTCATACTTTATATTCTGCTCAATGTAAGAGAAACACTTCTTTTTCTCTATTTAGCTAATGTCGACCTCAACTTGGGAATTTCTCTTTCATTGGGAGATGGTCCAAAGCAAAAGGATAGGTCCCTCAGGTTTCATCGTGTCCCTAACGGCATCGTATATGGAAGGAGCTCCAAGGTGCGCATTTTTTCTCCGTAGTGCACAAGTTATGATTTAGTTTACTTTCAAATGTGTCTTGCTGCAACCATTAGTCAAATGTTCTCTGTTGTTATCTAATCACAACGACTAAAAGCTACTTTGCGACTAGCTAGCTCAAGTCCTCGTGCTTCTTCCTTGATTCATGAAATTCTTGCTCTTTGGTTTGCTCTACATTCACAGCTGGAGAACCACATGGCAGCAGCGACATGTAATACGCCTTTCAATTTCTTGAAGAGGGGTTCGGACCATATTACTAACCACCATGGCGTTCCTCCTGCGTTCTTTTCACCCACGGTAAATACCATAGTATACATCTCCTTATATCAGACTGTTTGTCACTGCCATGCTTTTATGAGTTTATCACATGCACAATCATGTGTACCTTCTTTCCAGAACTAGAATACCATATGAAATATGTAGACAACTTTAATTGATCAACTTTAAGTTCAGCAGGTGATTGCTGTTGTGATATTTGAAAAATTAAGCTATTATAATATCCGTTTAGTAGAGAGTTCCATCTTGCTAGTTGATAAGAGTAATATATGCAGCATTAAACTGGAAACCGAGAAGAATTCATCAAATTAACTGTTGAACAATTTTTATTTTCTGGTTTCCAGGAAAGGACACCAGAGAAAGGCTTTATGTCACATCCTTCTCAAAGCTTCCAAGCCAGGACATGGCAAGCGCAAGATCAGTCAAGTGGTGGGACCGCTACTGTTCTCAATGCAGCATCATCAGGATTCTCACTCGCAGCAGCTACACGCCCGCCTTCATCCACAGCTACTCTTCATCCTTCTCAGCCCTTCTTAAATCTGAACCTACCCGGTCTTTATGTCATCCACCCAGCTGATATTGCATCACAGCAACACCATCACCATTTCATGAACCGCCCGCAAGCTCCACCATAACTTCCTGCGCCAAACTCAAGGTAAGGCTGTCTAGGAACCAATAACATTGAATTCATGTTTTGCTCAGCGCACAAGCTCAATTTCCTCTCCATCTCTAGTACGCTACGATAGTTTTCTTATAAGGTCCAATAAAACTAGAAGTAATAACAATCTTCTTATGGGAACTTGCAGGTTCTAACCAACCCTGAAGTTGGACCCCGACCGTGGAAGGCAAATATGATGATTTCTTCCAAAATCTATTGCTACTGTTTAGTCCTCTTCTTACTTTGATCTGTACCATAAAAATTGGGGTAAACAACAAAAGACAAACCCAAACCTATTTGTAATTTTACTATAATGTATCTTGAGATTAATCCAACCCGAAGGACAACCTTGTCCGAACTATGTATGTACTATTTATATGAATCTGTTTGAAAACTTTGCCTTCCTGCAGACAACAGAATTTGTATAACAGACATCAAATTGATTATTTTGTAGCGAGAGAGAAGAAGACAGAGATTTGATGAGAAAATTCAGGGACTCTTTTACCAGAAAAGTCTTACATAACTTAAAAACATCTTTCACAAACCAATCCGTAATTATAATTTATAAACCACATTCCAAGATAGATATTCAGTCTCATGCTAAAGACAATAAACACAAACACTCACAAAGTAATGCATTAGACACATGATTTTGATTAGCTAGAGGATCATCCATTGATTATGTAGATTTTGATGGTGTGAACGAGATTGTTTCCCGTCTTCTTCAACTCGCACACCATTTTATCCGTCACCTTCACATTATTCCTTCTGAATACGCTTCCGAAATCCTTGACAAAGACGGTGCCATTCACCTGAATCTTGATTTTCTTCTCCAATGTCCCAAACTTTTTCGTTAGTGGGTCGACGACAGTTATACTCTCAGGGAAGTTCAATTTGTAGTCATTAATAACCCGAGCCGGTATGTGCTGCATTATGAAAGAATCATCATATAACAAACGTAGCATACATGAAAACATATAACCCAATGATGTAAACAGAAGTTTGTGAAAAGATCTTAAAACATTTCATTTTTTTCTTACCAATTGGCTTTTCTTCTTCGGGTTTAGTCTCACAGGAAAGGACGGGTTAGTGCAATCATCCAAATACTGGCTTA